GAGTGTGTGTGTGTGTGTGTGTGTGTGTGTGTTTGGCATACATGTGTGCGTGTTATGTGTTCGTGAGTGTGTATGCGTGTGTTTGTGTATGTGTATATGTGTGTTTGTTTGTGTGTATATGAGTGTGTGTGTGTGAGTGTGTGTGTGTGTCGCGTGCATGAATATTTTTCTTACATGCATTTATATAAAGCGCCTAGAGCTGTGTTTACACGGGAGTGGGCGCTATATAAATGATCTTCATTATTATTATTATTAAAATGCATGTGTAAAACTGTGCATACATATATGCTCATTAGATTAACAAACACATACAGAGACTTTGACACTTACACAGCACAATCAACGACGATACACGCTTACCATCTTGAACATAAGAGGATCGTGAGGAAAAAAGTACCAACTGCGGAGATGGCATTTTGTGAAGTATGCCTTTAAGTGAATTGAACATTTTCATCTTTGACTTTTATCCCATAATATTTGAACTGTGAAATGTGGGTGGCTGGTGGGTGCTGTGGTGTTGTTTGCTCCTGTCCTCCTTTTCTCTCCGTCTTTTCTTTGTATATTACTCTGTAGTACCACGGTACCACCTCTAATCTCCGCTACTTTACAATGACCTATTTGTGTTGCAAGTGCCATAATACCTTTACTAAAACCGAAAAACTGACAGCTCTATAGACAACTGACAAAAGTTTGAATATATCTTTACTGCGAAATTGTCATCCCCAGGTTCAGTTCTTTAGTCCGTTGTTTGGCGGTGTTGCTGCTTTTTCTTTCCTCATCCTTACTATCGTCATTTTTTCCTCTACTTCTTTTGTATGTTTGTCACTCTCTTGTGACCTGCTATTTCCGGGGTGCCTTGATAGTCGAAGCAGATTTTGTGCTGTTGGCGCTTGAGAGGTGAGCAGAGTAAGCCTGATTCCCTGTTTTGGGACTTCTCTGCTGACATCCACCCTTGGCGCTCATATGGCCATATGCAGTTGCGAGCGCCGTAAAAACCTTACTACTAAAAAAAATATAATTTAAAAAAAAAATGGAAAAACTGACAGTGTTTTTTGTTGTCCCCAGGTCCCGTTCTTCGGCCCGTTGTTTGACGGAGCCATCGTGGACCAGCAGGTGTTGTCGGGTCTGGTGCGGGCCACGGCGGTCAACGCCAGCCGCCTCAAGCGCTCACTCATGCCCTTCTACCACGCCTTGTATCCTTGGCTCACTCCGAGGGGTGGGGGTGGTTGGCGGGTGCTCTGGTGTGGTTTATTTCCTATCAAACATCTATCATCTTTATCTCCCCTCCATCTTTTTCGTGTTTGTTACTCTCTTGTAACACCTCTAATGTTCGGCACTTATATGACCTATCGTGTTGCAAGTGCCGTTAAACTCTTATGTAAAAAACATCTATCGTCCTTATCTCTCCTCCTTTTCTTTTTTTTTTTGTATGTTAATCTCTTGTAACACCTATAATCTTGGGCACTTAATTGACCTGTTAAACTCTTACGTAAAAAGCGTCTATCGTCCTTATCTCTCCGCCTTTTCTTTTTTGTATGTTACTCTCTTGTAACACCTCTAATCTTTGGCACTTATTTGACATGTGAATGTTACAAGCGCTGTAAAACTTTCCTGAGCTGTGCGTGCAGCTACGAGGAGCGTGCCAAGTGCCTGGAGACCATCATCCAGCAGCACACAGAACACACCATGTTTGAGGAGTTTGCCGAGAACGTGTTCGCACCCGTGCTGCCGGCCAACGCTGCCAGTAAGTCACACCTGTGTGTGTTGTGTCATTGGTGATCACCAGCGAGTTGGGGGGGAAATTATGTATCCATTGCTGCCAACCAGTACATAAAAAGCACATTTAACTCATTCCGTACTACGGATGAGAATACTCGCGAAACTTGGGCTTTTTCACATACTAGCGACGAGTATTCTCGCTTTCTGCCTCGCTGTCTTTATAGAAAGAATTACTCTTATCTAATCGATACCAAGTTATTTAACTAATCGTGATGCATTATGGGAAAGGTCAAGGAGACATTTTTTTTCTGCTCTAACAGCCGTTGAGCCCACTAGTTGTGACTGATTTTCCTGGGTAGATCTAATTTCCTGTTGCCATAATAAAACTGCTCAGTGTATGAGGGGAGTTCACTGCTGCAGCGCTCAGCTCTGAATGAGTTAATACGTTTTTTGAGAGTCTGAGTTTGGAAGTCCGATTTTGTATTATAAAATGGTTTTCTTTGGGTTTTTTCTAGTAACTGCTCATAAAAACCAATACAAGCCTTCATTAAACGACGGTTACTGCACGTGCTTCTCGTAACGTGAATGAACAACGGAGCAGTTTTGCTTTTTGTCTCGGTCAAAGATGTGAAACCTCTGCTGTTTCTCTCTGTGTGTCTGTATGTCTTTCTTTTGCCCTGCACTAAACGGCCATTAATGGTGGTTGAGGGGTGCTCTGGTGTGGTTTGCTCCTCTTTCCTTTGGAATATCTATCGTTCTTATCTCTACTCCTTTCTTTTTGTGTTTGTTACTTTCTTGTAACACTTCTAATCTTCGGCACTTATATGAACCTAACTGTGTTGCAAGTGCTGTAAAACGCTTACTGAAACAATGAAACAGAAATAACCATTATTGTGCAGATGTGTTTCTTTTTACCCAGCCAACCAACCTAACAACCAAACAAACAACCAAACAAACAAACAAACAAACCAACAAACCGACCCAACAGTCGAGCTAACATCCGTGTTTCTTCCCCCACCACCACCACCACCCCGCAGTCGTGGATGTGACGCTCCCGTCTGAGTCGAGCAGCTCCAGTCTGAACGAGCTGTCGCAGGGCATGGCCGGTGACCTGACCGTGCCCCAGATGTCGCCCAACAGCGGCCGGCAGAGAGGTAGGAAGCCCCAGTCTGCCCTCTGGCACAAAGGTTTAGATAACCTGGTCTTTATATGAACAAACTCTTCACAAAACCTGGTCTTTATATGAACAAACTCTTTACAAAGGCTTAGATAACCTGGTCTTTATATGAACAAACTCTTCACAAAGACTTAGATAACCTGGTCTTTATATGAACAAACTCTTCACAAAGGCTTAGATAACCTGGTCTTTATATGAACAAACTCTTCACAAAGACTTAGATAACCTGGTCTTTAAATGAACAAACTCTTCACAAAGACTTAGATAACCTGGTCTTTATATGAACAAACTCTTCACAAAGACTTAGATAACCTGGTCTTTATATGAACAAACTCTTCACAAAGGCTTAGATAACCTGGTCTTTATATGAACAAACTCTTCACAAAGACTTAGATAACCTGGTCTTTATATGAACAAACTCTTCACAAAGACTTAGATAACCTGGTCTTTATATGCACAAGCTCTTCACAAAGACTTAGATAACCTGGTCTTTATATGAACAAACTCTTCACAAAGACTTAGATAACCCCCACCTCCTTCAATCACAGGTATTTTTTTTTTTTTATAAATAGAAAAAAACGTGGCGACTATCTCATTTTTGTTCATCAAAGCAAACGAACAAGCTTTAAGATTATACGGAGAACTATATTATGGCCAAACATTGACGAGTGCCTGATTCCATCGTGTGGCCACACACACACATTAGGAAGTCTGCCAGCTGATTGGGGGGGGGGGGGGGGGAGACAACTCCCTGTGCTGTGTGGGTTGATACTCCGAGGTGTGCTGTCTTTGAGCTGTCACTTTTCCCACGCACACCGGAGTTGTCGTCTGCTTGTGGTTGTGATTGTTGGACAAACGGTGGACAGCACAAGTCACTTAGTTTGCCTACTTGTACAACTTCAGTCTGTGTGTTCATAAAGAAAACAGGATTTTTTCTATGACGTGTTCGTTGGCTCGAAATGATGTTTATTTCTGGAGCTGGCTTGTCAAGATGTCAGTTACCGAGATAATTTTTTAATTTTTTAAAGCAGACGAGGTTTGAAATCAAAGACTCATTTCCTTTCCTGCCTTTCTGCAAGGACCAACAGTTAATGTTCCAAGACATAAGGACTTTCATGTTTTTTCTCAAGTCACAAAGTAACAACGATTGAAACTGAAAAATCTGTTTTTTCACTTTTTACCTTTTCCAACACCCAAAAAATGACTTGTGTGTTTGAAATGCCTATCTAAAATAGTTTTCCCTCCTATGCATCTTCTCTGTTTGATTCTGGTTTTTGAAGGTTTTTAATTTCTTTTAGGATTGTAGTGATGTAATGAATGACAAGATGATCATGACTTTACCTTCTCGTTCATTTGTTTTATTTGTGGCACTCGACAAATTTGTCCCAGTCTGTACCGCTGAAATGTGTTTGACAATATATGTATAATTATCATTTGGTTCCTCAAAATCCTTGAACAGGCTTCTCTCATTGAGAGCAACACTCTTTGTTTCATTTTATTTTATTTTCTATTTTTTTAAAGGAAGTTTTTATGATATTTTGTGTTTATGCTGAGGGTGAAGGTGTCATTATTGTCATGTGTTCACAGCAAACCTACCCATAACGATGTACAGCAGAACAAATGTACAATCTTTGTGCTTGTATTCTCGTGGTGAACGAAAGAGGCAATGGGTCACATAGGACCTCTCTGACCTTCTGTCTGTTCAACAATAATGTGACTCTCCTTGTTTTTGGTGGATAGATCCCGCAGTAGATCCTTCTGTTTGCCACTGTGCATTGTGAATTGGACTGTCATCCATTGTACTAAACACTGAAGGGGCCCCCCCCCCCCCCCCCCCCGCCCATCTTGTTTGTATATTTGACTTCCCTTTATCACGGTGCTGAAATATTTGCTCGTCATTTGTGGGGTTGGAGGAGGGTGTAAAAACACGTACAGTATAACGCGGATAGCTCGAATACGTCGGGACCGGCCTCGGTCGTTCCAGGGATCTGTAGTTTGTCCAGGGATATCTTACAAAGATGTAAAGGAAAAAAAACCCAACAGGACTGCAGGCACAGTTCGACGAATTTGTGATTTCAAGTCTTCTGTGTTCGACCTATCCCTGTTATACTGTACGTCTAAAACAAGAACAGAAGTAGGCCTATTGTAATGCAAGTATCTCTTGTTCACCGTTTAAGAGAAGAAGAATTGTAATGCAAGTGTCTCTTGTTCACCGTTTAAGAGAAGAAGAATTGTAATGCAAGTGTCTCTTGTTCACCGTTTAAGAAAAGAAGAATTGTAATGCAAGTGTCTCTTGTTCACCGTTTAAGAAAAGAAGAATTGTAATGCAAGTGTCTCTTGTTCACCGTTTAAGAAAAGAAGAATTGTAATGCAAGTATCTCTTGTTCACCGTTTAAGAGAAGAAGAATTGTAATGCAAGTGTCTCTTGTTCACCGTTTAAGAAAAGAAGAATTGTAATGCAAGTATCTCTTGTTCACCGTTCTTCCCCCAACAGTCAGGTGGCAGTTCTGATGTGCGGGTACCTTTGTGGTTTGTAAGCAAGGTTCACACTAAGTTTGGTTTTACAACTTACTGGTTTTTGTTGTTTGAGTTTTCCCTCCCAATGTTGGGAAAGGGCTCCAACCCCTTCCCACCCCCTCCCCTCCCCCCCAGCTCTTTCTGTTTTGATGAAAGTGTTGGCATGCCACAAGTCAACAAGAGTTGTAGTTTTCCCATGATATAGGGTTCCTGCAGTCTCCATGAATTCAGGGAGTCTTTGAAAACTCCTGGAATTTGCTTTCAAGAAAAATCCCCTGGAAAACTCTTTGAATTTCGCCAGATTGGACATGAAAAAATTTTTTGTCAGACAATGGAAACTATGATTCCTTTCGGACACGTGTAGGCCTATCGGATATTAGACATTCAGGGTGCGAGTGCGCCGTCGAAAACGGCACAAATTTCTGGACCAAATCTTGAATTAAAAAAATGTCTCCTTAGAAACTCCTTGAATTGGATGGAGAGTTCATGGCAGAAACCCTGATATTGAAAGTTTCCATGTAATCTGTCAGATGACACGGGGCAGGTATGCTCACCACTTTTCTACCAGTAACTATTTTTGGTTGGCTCTGCCATGGTAGGCAAATTTCTCAGAACTAAGATCAAAGCAATAACTTCTCCGTCATAGTCAAAGATCAAAAGAATATTTTCTCCGCTGTCAAGCCTCTAAATTCTCCTCTATGGTGGTGGTTTTTATCTTTTGTGTGTTTTATTGAAGAACCTGAAGATCCTTGAGTTTTCTCCGGACTTGTTCTCATTGAAATTCCCATGGTTGCTCTTGATCCCTTCTGTTCTTCCAAGAAGGACATTTTGACAACGGACATTTTGACAACGGTTTTCCCTGTTCCTGTTTGACATTTCACCAAAGCTTTCAATGTGTTTCACTTTTTTGGATTTACCGTTGTTAGAAATCTTTTCATTTATTTGATACATTTTTAAAAAGTTCTTTTTCCGTTTGTGTGTTCCATTTCCCTGACAAATGGAATAGAAGCCAGTGGTTCCTCTGACTCTTGGTAAAGACATGACTAGTTCTGTACTAGCTGTGCTGGGCACCACACTTCCTTGTATTCTGACAGAGCGTCTAATGAGCTTAACATTTTCTGTCCTGTCTTTTGACGAGTCGAGGAACACACTGGTCACCAACTGGTCGTAATTTGTCGAGCTGAACTTTGGCATCGGAGTCTAGTTAGAAGTTAGTTTTGGATAAGGACCAAGGGGAAATTCCTCTTCTTTCGTTTTGACACACACACATTAAAGTTTGTGTAGCGGATGACTCTGTGTGTGTGAGATTTGATACAGCTGATAAAGCTGTGTTGAACACACGTCACGTGATTAGAACTTTGCACCGCGTCCATTTCCCCACTATGTGTGCACTGCTGTGGCCCAGATGTAGATCTGATAGGTCTGTCTCCCGTGGATATATCTGTGCGACAACGCTCACTGATGTGACAAGTCAGGCTCACTCACGAAGGTTGTGCTCTTACTTACTCATTAGGAATTATGTACTCACCCATGCTAACATGTGCTAAATATAACTCTCGTCCTTTCTCCCGACTTGTCGCTATGAGTGAGACTTGTCCTGTGAGTAGACTGCTTTCTTGAACTGATGTTGAGACATTCCACAGTCGTCTCAAGTATTACGTTGTTTTGGTTTTTTGAAACATTAATATTTTTGTTGTTTCTCGTAATCATAACCCACATGAATGCTCATAAGTTTTGCAATATTATTGAAACGTTGTTTTGTTTTTCAGTCTGTGCAATAATAGAACTTGGCATTGTGTAGATTGAATGGACACTGGTCGAAGATACTCAGAAACAAATGTAGCATTTATTGAACCCGTTGGTTCTACTCATAGAGCGGATAAACATATTTCTATCAGCTCTGTGGTTCTAGTTCAGTTCCTGCTCTTTGTGAGTGTCAGGGCTCGCTAGGTCGAGGGACGGGTGGTGGATTCTGCACACCTTGTTATTTTTTTACGTAACAAGAATGGTATGAAGTGTTACGTGTTGTAAAATGACTATGTGACTTGTTGGAGGGATGGAGAGGAGGGGTGGGATGGAGAGGAGGGGTGGGATGGAGAGGAGGGGTGGGATGGAGAGGAGATATATGTTTGTAGGATTTGTAAATAGATTTTGACGTTGCGAGGTGTTCGGCATATTACGTTGTCCTATCATACTGAGGTTTCCTGCTTGCTTGCTCGTGTGGAAACGAACCACAAACTGATCAATGCTCATGGCTCATGGGCTCTCAGCTGGATTTCTGGTCATTATTTTTTTATATATATATATATATTGAATTGTTTGTAGCAACGTTTGTGATGAAACATGAACATGCAGGGTGATTTATTTATTGGCTGATGTGTGTCCACTGTTCTTATGTTGAATGACGGCCTCCTGAATGGTCCAAACTGTGTCAATGTGGGCGTAGAAACAGTGTGTTCC